TGAAATTCGCAGCCGCATTATAACAGTTGATGAGACTTGGATTCGTCAGTATGATTCCGAGTCCAAACAGACTGAATAAAAAAATGTTCTCCACCAAAAAAATTTGGAAGTGTCGAAGATTTCTACCTTACCTTTTTCTGGGATAGCGAAAGAATATTATTAGTTGATTACTTGCCCAAGGGAACTACAGAAAACGCCCAGAATTACGCTAATTTGTTGAGGCAAGTGTGTGAGGTAGGCATACAGAAGAAACGTGGCAAGTTGGAGCGCGGAGTGCTATTTGTTCAAGAGAACACACCACTCGGGTTGGGATGGTTGCCTCAAAAGCTATTAATTATACAGAAATTGACTATCCATTCTACAGTTCGTACCTGGCACCCGGCGACTTTTCCTTTTTAAAAAAGAAGTTACGGAGACCAAGACTTTCAGACGACATTTATCTCACAGCGGTTGCAGAAAACCTTTTTGAAGATAAATTTTAAGAATATTTTTTTTCATTGATAGACAGGCGTTGTATTCAAGCTGTGAAAACTGTATTTCACTTTCGAGATACTATATTGAGAAAAATAGCATGAAACTATGCATTTGTTTCATGAAATACTAATTAGCCACTCCTCGTATGTTTTTTCAAATAGATTTCCGTAAAACAAAAGTATTTCATGTAAACCGTACCATAAATACGATTTATTCGAATGGGTCAGTCTCTAGTCCACTTCCTGAAAATTTCGTATAAGCCTTCTCAGAAGTCGTAGAAGCAATTTGACAAGTTAATCGATAGTCAAAATCGCTTCAGCGATCAAAATCCGAGAATTACGTAAATATTTATATTTATTTATATATATTAAATATATAATTAATTTATTTATTTAGTTATTATTTCTGTTCTCATTTCGCTTTGTCGTTTTCCAACATCCAGCAAGTTTTTTTTTTAAAAACAAAATAAATAATAAATTCCTACGAATAACCTCTAAATGCTGAGCTCATAAAATGTTCAACCCTTCCTTCTCTCTTATGCATAAAACAGCAGTTGTTGTATGCATACAGTGAACGGAAATCTACGTCTCTATGAAAAGCAAAAAGCAATCGCGCTGACGCACACATTCACAGTAGTTAATCGAAATTCCCAGACGTCGTTTCAATTTTTCCTTTGGGTTGTCGTACGCAAACAGCGCAGTGCTCACGCACTCGTGTCATTTGAGTTATTTAAAGCGCAATTTTTCTAAGCATACACACCGGCAAACATGCGCGCTCTTGTTTGTATTGGTTTTCATTTGTAGTTGTGTGTGTAAGTGTGTATGATATATAAATGTATTTATTTTTCAGTGTGTACAGTATGCATTTAGGCGCTTAGGCGCCACTTTGTCTACATACATATATTGCTGGTGAATGTTTATACATATTCACACTGATTTATAACTGTGCATTTACAATTTGTTACGTGTATTTTTATTTTAGTATTTATGTATATATCACGACTTTTATTTGCTAGTTATTTATAGTTGTACGTAATCAAATGTATTTTCACCTTAACGACTCAACAATTTAGAGTGAATGTTTGCCCATTCTTAAATAAAAGGGGTCAAAAGCGGCTTTGAAACAAAATCAGGAACTGTCAAGGAATTTTATATAAGTAAAAAAAAATCTATATTGTATAAATCTAAACTATTTTTAATCCCACAGTTCTATTATAAAATAGAAAAGCGAATGAAGAAATTGTATTAAATATCACTCATACGCCAAGGCGGACTCATAGTTGCCATACTAAATATAATATAATATTTATATACATAAAGCCGCAGAGTTCGACGTTTAATATAAAAATATACATATCTATATTGCTCACCTTGCATATATAAATATGCTTTTTATCATTTATTCATTTACTACATACATATGACTGCCTGTGGGGTTTACTATCTATTTTTAGATAGACGCTAGTTGGTAACGCCATCGCACAGAATTATTCCCTTTATTACCATCAATCAACTCGAATTACGATAATATCAATTTACCACGCTACGCACACAAAGAGTCTTTTAAAGCATTTTTTCATATATATTTCTATATGAGAGATTGACAGTTGTTGTAGCGACTGGTTGTTTAAAAAAAAGTTTCGATTTTTGCACATTTCGAGTTTTTTATAGTGCAGCGCTACACCAGGGGCAATTTATTCTTTTTTTCTGCGGTTTTCTTCGACGTGCTTCATCAACTTTCATTGCAACAAGCACTTGATTGGTGTTATGGTTCTATTTTTTACAAGCACTTATTCGCAATGCTTTTGTGTTCAGTGTTCATTCTCTCAGGACTTTCTTCCTCATTACTTGGGGTTTTAGGTCGTTGCTACTCTGCTACTTCCGCAAGCTTGTCGCAATAAGTTTTTAACGTCTGTACTATTGATGTCAGCAGTTTGGCAGTAACGAGTCGAGAAATCAAAGGAATACTTGAGTGTATAATAATCCAATAAACGGTCAAAAGCGTTTATTGAGGCCGTAAATGCGGAAATTAATGCAGATATTAGCTCTGGCAGGACGGTGCAAAATTATTGTAAAATATTTTAAGTAGACCACTTATTAAAATTTTGTTAGTGAAATTTCTCTTAAAGCTTTTTTTCTAAAGCTTTTATTTTATTTTATTTTATTTTATTTTATTTTATTTTGTTATTTTTTATTATTTTAAATTATTTTTTTTTGTATAATTTTTTTTTAAATTAATTTAGTTTACACACAACTTGTTTATTTTTAATGATTTTCGCCTTGAATTAAAAGTGTTGTCTATTACCGTTAATTCATTTCAAGGGCAAATTTCTCATTTACCACAAACACTTTCGTTCCTTAATCAAATGAAATGTGAAGCATAGCTTCCCATTATACAACACGAATAGTTTATTCCCATTAATTGTCAATGACATTTCCGTACTCATTACCATAAATATAGTGCAGTAGGAGTAATTATACATCCATAGATACAGCCATACATATATATATACAGACCAATGGGAGAATATGCTTATAAAAGAATTTAAAAACTCTCTTTGCGTGCATTTATGCGTATATGTACGTTTGTGCATATGTATAATATATAAGACCGCACTAATTTCATGGTCAATTTAATTGTACGATGATTGTGAGTGATGTGTTTGTGGGCGAATGCAGGTATAGAAGTATATGTATGTGTATGCATTCATAGAGAGGAGTGAGTGAGTGCTTTCATTGAATAATGTGCGCATAAACTTCTTCCTTCCATATTGACATTGACCGGGCAAGTCACTTATCTATATGCAATCATGTGTGCATAAATATATATGTATACATATCAATGTCAAAGTATTTATAAATAATAACATGAGTATGTAATATAATATAATATGAACAAAGCATGTCAAGTCCTCTTTCTGCGTAAGCTCCTCCCACCTTTCTATGATTTAAAATAATATATGTAAAAAATACACGGGCTTTTATAACATTTTCGAAGTTACGGAATTCGGTAGGATATCAATTTTCTTATATTTTCAAAAATTTGTATCAATAAAAAAAATTTAAAATTAATTTTTCACTTACGCTTTCTCGCAATCTGAATCTGCTTATAAAATATATAACATTTTCTACTCAAAATTGAATAATTCTTAGTAAGGTTCTGAAAGTAGGGTTTCTTGAGCTGCATTCGCACCCGCTGGTTGAGAGTTTAAATCTAAGAAATTAGAGTGATGTGAAAATGACCATCCTTGAGATAATTAAAACGACCTCATCGTACAGCTAGACAATTTTTGGTTGGTCGATGGATTTTTATGAAGAGCTACTCATTCATATCAAAAATACACTCAGAGAGCTAAACAAACCGATGCTGTAAAGATCTTACAATAGCGGTAAGCGATTTAGCCGCTTCAAAATTCTTTAGCATTAGAAAGTTAGACAATTCTGCTCACCATAATCTCCTGTTAAAGCACGAGAAAAAATCTATTTGGAATCAATGTTTTTGTTGTAGGTTTGAACATTTTTAATGCGTTGTTTGGTCTACTTAAATGGATGCCTGATATTTAAATAAAACAAAACATGTTTGATTTGACATGTAAGTTCAACAGATATCAAAATATCGCACTGTACTTTTGAAACCAAGAAATGGATAACCCTATATACATATATATATATATATACACACATTTTATGAAAACTTCCATTTCAATCAGTGTGATTTACAACTTTAAATTATTTCAACTCTTAAAACATATACGCGTATATATATATGCTTTTGCTTGCACTTTAATACATTTAAAAATATAAAAATAAAAATTTTTCTTTGTGCTTTTATTCAATGTATGTATGTATGTTTGAAGTCGACATTTCGCATATTACGGCCACAACGAGACACTTCTCTCAAGGCTATTTTCTGTTCGTAACACAAATAATCATTTTAATTTGCTTCAATTGTTCAATTTTTTTATTAAATCAATATAAAGCAAACTTCACCTCTACCACATTCGTTCATATGTATTTCTATACTAAGCTGTAAAATTGCAATTAATTAATGGAAAAAAGGAAATATTACGCAACTGATTCGTTTGAATTTCATTTCGCTTCCACATTTCGTTCGCACAAAAAAACTAAATTTGTTCGCCAAAAATTAAAAGCATTACCAAATTTATAGAAAATAAAAATGAGATATTTTAAATGTGCTAATTTCTTAAAAAAAAAAAAATTAATTTTTGAATTTAATTTATGCCTAAATTGTATGTACATAAATCTTTAATGTATATGTATGTGGTAAATGTGTGCAACTTTGGTTCTAAAATATATAAACATTTTTTCCTTTTGTATTTTCATTTCTTTTTTCTTTCTATGCTTATTTAAAAAAAATGAAAATAATGAAAAACGTGTCTTTTTCCTGTAAAAAAATGCTATATGCCAAAAACAAAACTACTACAAATCTACTACTACTACTACTGTACTACTACTACTATTAAATACTGCTACTCTCTACTACTTACGAATAAATTTAACTAAAAGTTTGCATACTGCACGGATATTGTAAGTCTCACTCGTACTATTATATACATATATATATATATACATAGGTACATACATGCATATATTATTGTATTTATATACGTAAATGAAATCTTTGTATGCCTATGACATGTTTCTTTCTATCAAACAGCTCAGTTCTTTTTCTCTCTCTATATACATACACACATATATATAAATATACTAACTACAAATAGCAAATATGTAGCATAATATGTATGTATGTATTTAATTCATACTTTTTCGCCAAGCAGCTTACACGTATATGTACAATAGTACATACATACATATTTCATTACATTTACATTTAAACTGAATTTCATACGAATTTTCAGACAATGTTCATCCAAAAATGCGATTCAGTCTCTCACCACCACCACCCCAACCACAAACCAAGTCCGCCTCCGTCATAATATCGCCCACCACCATCACCAACACCATCCGCACCAATATGCAGCAAGCCAGCAATTACGCACAAAGCAACTGCAACGTCCCACGTGCTACCGGCGTTGGTGGCCGAAGTGATGATGATATTTCGCCTGCTACAGCCACCATCACTGCAACTGCCGTTGCTGTTGGGCCATTGACTAAGCGTGTGGAGGACGACGAAGAGGCTGCTTCGGACTACAATCAATGGCTGCATGCAATGAAGCTGGTTGCACGTTTGCCTGGTGGCATGCCACCGGAATTTAGACGAAAGGTAAGCGTGTTTAGGCGAGTGCTTTTGCCCGGAAATATTTATTTAATTGGTTTTTAATTGAAATATTTCTTTATTTTCTTCTTTGTTATTATTATTATTATTATTATTATTATTATTATTATTATTATTTGTGTGTTTGTTTTGATTTTCTTGTATCTCTGTTATCTCGTCTAGTTGTGGCTATCGCTGGCGGATAAATATTTGAAATCGAAAAATGTTGACTGGTCCAAAGAGGAGGAGAAGTGCTTTTGTGAGAAGTGGCGCGAGGATGACGAGGAGTTGGGCATTCAAATTGTTAAGGTGAGCAGTTGGGTGATCTTTGTATTTAGTTCATAACAGCTTAAAGCTTTTATTAAGAAATTTTAAAAAAAATTTTAATTTTTAATTATTGGACAACTCCAATTCAGCGCTGAAATTGTAGATGAACCCTTTATTTTAATATATATACTAAATCCTGGTACGACCATCACACAAAAGTTGTAGAAAATGAATTTATATAAAAAATTAAGTTAAATTTTCTTTTTTGGCGGCAGAGAATGCCAACCCCTCCGAGGGCATTTCTGAGGTGAAATAAAGGCTCCTCGTAAAAAACTATCAGCCGATCGGAGACGGCTTAATATAAACTCTAGGTCCCTTCAGTTGTTGAAAAAACATCAAGACTCAAAACCACAAATCGGAGGAAGAGCTCAGCTGAAAATCGCTTCAGCGGTTACAAAGCCCCAATTATAAATACATATATATATATATATATATATATTAATTATTTTCGGTAAATATACTTTGATGATTTCTCATGATTTCTCAAATCCTTCGAGTACCATCACTTGATTGTTAAATAAAAGTCACAGTTTCCAGCTTATTCACGGTAAGCACACAGTTAAATAACTACACTTTACCCCGATGTTGTCATTACCGAGTACTTACTCTACTGAACTAGAAATCTCTTATATCGCCATAGATTGCTGGCATGTATCTTCTAGAAAATTCTTTTTAAATGTTCTTGAAAACGAATATTCGATATACCCGCTGAAGAGTTATCGGTTTCTCTTGTGTAAGTGATATTAGTATTTGCGAAAAATTTGTTTTAATTTCAAACTTATTTACTTTGTCTAAATAGTTTTTCTTAAAACGAATTATATTTGATTATTATTATTATTATTTAATTTTATTTGTTTTTTTTGAGACGCTGGCAACTCTTACCAAAAGCAAAAATGAGCTCAAAATGTTCAGTTTGCGGCCACTTAAAATGTTTTCTTTGACTCCTTTCGTAGAAAACGCATTGTAATTTTGGTCAAAAGTGGTAACCCTACACAAATAAAGTTTTATTCAAAGCCTTCCCATTGCATGCCTTATCCACGTTCTAGAAAATGCGTTCTTATCGCCTATTTCATACGCAGAATATACCCTTCAAGTTTCAGTTACCTGCGTTGGGTTGAGCCATCAATAATCATTCACTCTTTTATATATTGTACATATATAGATGGCAACTCCGTCCATATCATATATTACATTTAATTTGAAATTTGTTAAACATTTTCAAAATAATAAAATTCTTTGCTTTGCAGGACTTACATCGGACTGGCTCGAATCTATGTACTGGGCCAGCTGGCTCGATTAATCAGGCCAAATTGAAGCGCATACTTTTAGGGTACGCGCGCTACAATCCCGAAGTTGGCTACTGTCAGGTAACTCTCTAAGCAAATCTCTCACACTCTTTAGTCTCTCTCTCTCTCTCTGTCTCTCTCTCTCTCTCTCTCTGTCTTTCTCTCTGTCTCTCTCTCTCTCTCTCCCTCTGTTATTCCTTCCGATTAAACTGCATTATGCATTCTTTTTCTTCAGGGTTTCAATATGCTTGGCGCACTAATCCTACAAGTTATGGAGAAGGAGGAAGCCGAATCTATGAAAGTCATGATTTACTTGGTTGAGGGTGTCTTACCACCTGGCTATTTTCACGGTTCTATGGGTGGCCTACAAGCTGATATGGCTGTATTTCGTGAATTAATGCAGACGAAATTGCCACGCTTGGCAAAGCATTTACAAAAGCTGCAGGGACCCAGCGAGAATGCCTTCGAGCCGCCACTTACGAATGTCTTCACAATGCAATGGTTTCTAACGATGTTTTGCACTTGCCTGCCCATGACGTGCGTGCTACGTGTGTGGGATCTTGTGCTGATAGAAGGCAGTGACGTGCTGTTGCGTACTGCTTTGGTACTCTGGAGCCTGTTGGAAGAGTAAGTGCAACGAGGCTGATGCGTTGTGAATTATTATTAATTTTTCTCTCCTTTCAGTCGCGTGTTGAACACACGCACAGCAGATGACTTTTATGGCAAAATGGGTTCTTTTTCAAGTGAATTGCTCAATGGTCATCTTATTGATTCGAATGGTTTGATTGAGAAAGTTGTGCAACTTGGTCCGATACCAGATATACAGCGCTTGCGGGACAAGCACCTCTACAACATCACACCACTGCGCCACAAGCAGGGATTACAGTTAGTAAATTACTGTGTAAGTTGGTTTTAAAACTCTCAATATACTTTCACTTTCAGATTCTACTACGATGATGAGGAGCCCGGTTCCGATGAGGAGTCTCGGCTCGCTGTTGCCACGGTTTGGGGTATGCCTTGGGGTCGCCGTGGTTCACAGGGTCACACCGTTGCCGGCGGTGCGAATAAGCAAGTAACGGAGAACAAAGACCGCCTCGCATTAGACATTTCTTTGTTGAAGAAGCAATACGATCGCTTACGTGAACGTCAACGTCAAGCGCACATCATTCTAACGACCGCTTGCTCTACAGCACGTCAGAGTACCACCCCTTCCAGTCAGCCCACTCAGTCGGTCACTGTAAATCAGCTCCTCATGGGACGTCCTGCTATTGTTACGAATAAGGGTAGACGTATTGGGCCGCCGCCAGGCGCTATACCGCCCGCACGCAAGCCATCACTACCTACTGTGCTCCACTCAAGACCACCCGAGCGACAATTACGTCGTGGTGAAACCTTACATTGGCGCGATGCCGATATAAGCAAACGTCGCAGAGATAGTCTCTCTTGGAAGGAGATTAAGGCGGATCGCGCTAGTCTGTTGCGCGAAGGCACTGACTCCCTGCCGAAGTCCCAGAAAATACGCTCGCGCATGGGTAAAAGTGATTCGTCGTCATACAGTGAGGAGAGTGATGACAATGAAGGTGGTGATGATGGTAATGATGGCTCGAGTACGGATACGAGTCTCTGCGATGATGACGATCCCAATTCGGGCGCTGATAAAACTCATTCCTCTTCAATTGAGAACAGCCCCAAGCGCAGATCAAAATCATCACGCAAAGCGAAAGAGCATGCCGCGAAGTTGGAAGTTCTGCCAGAGCCCAGCGAAAGTGAGAAGGAGCGCAGACGACCAAAATCATGGGCACCTTCATCAACTGAGATTCCATTTATGCTCATGACTTCGGACTCGCCAACTTTCAGTGGTGACGAGCAAAAATCTGCGCGCTCCCACCGTTTCGAAGAATTAATTAAGGAGGAGGAAGACAGTTCAACGGAATGTGATCGTCTTGCCTGTAAAGGTGGCGCGTCTACGACGTTAGAGTGGTCCGATACTAAATACTCTACGATAGCTGGTGATCTGGCTACCACAAAGCTAGACTCATTGCACATCGAAACAGATGTACTGGAGCTACCTGTGATAACAAGCACAAGTCAACTTTCGCCCATGCCAGACATTGCGGCGTTTCTCAACAGTTCCAACATCAGCCCCTTACCGACACCGAAACCATTATTCCTCGACTCAACAAACTCACTCGGTAGTGGCGATGATGGTGAAGAAGGGAGAAGGTTTGCTGTCAACGATGATGGAGTGACAAATCAGTACTTCGAACGTGTCAACAGCGTAGAACGGCCAACCAAATTGGATTTGTTTTATTCGCTCAACGAAGAAGATGGCATACGAAGAGAAGACGACGCAAAACCTTCAGAGTCAAAAAGTGCAGAAAATGACAGTAGAGTCCATGACGCTGATGGCAACACAGACGATGCCTGTGCAAAGCAGCGTCAAGCGCAAGGCAAAGTTGGTGGTAAAGAGACAATCGAAGAACCGGATAAAGACTCCGACAGGCATATGGAATTATTAAATGACTACTCTGAAAAATCCTCAGCGGCATTTATCGCTGAAGCAACCACAGAACTTACGACAAGTTTAAGACAGGAGAAGGCGAAGGAAACGAGTGAGGTTTATGAATCTTCAAAAAAAACGTATGTTAAGCCAAATGAGAATGACACCACTCGTACCGCACTTAGAGATGACAATATTCCTGGCGAAGCCATTGAGCATTTTGAAGAGAGCTTCGTAAAAGTGGAAGAACGCAAGCCGAAAGAAAACGACGTGAAAACGCTTGCGCTTAAGAAGCCAAACACAATGAGTAGTGCCTGCAGAAAACGTCGTGATCCCAGACGACTAACCCTAACACGCTCGTCAACTATAGAAATTGAAGAACGCTTCCAAGCTCTCGAGCGTCGAATGAGTGAAGAGAAGTTTGTGAACGATAAACAAAGAACAAATGGTGATAGAATAATAGATGAAGTAGGTGATAAAAGCGATAAAAGAATACCAACAACAGCGGAGTTGGAGAAGAGATTGAGCACACTTGAGATGGAAATAAAGAAAGAGCCGCCTGAGAAAAAAAGGTTTGATGATAGTAGCGTTTGTAGAGATAGATCTAAGCACGAATCAACAGAAATAATAAATCGACCATTTACAGAGTCAAACCACAAAATAGACACAAACACAAACTCCACTAAGAACATCGTTTTAGAGAATATACAAAAAAAACAGCGTCACTCCGATTTTAAAAATGGCATCATGCCTGACGTTGTGCCCATCGAAGAACGGCGGGAAGAATTCATACAAAAACCAATGCGCAATCACATACCCTCAACTGTAGAACTCGAAAATCGCTTCAACGCTCTGGAAAGACAATTAAGCTCAAATGGTTCTCCCAGCAAAGGTTCAATGGACTTGCGGCGGGATGAAAGAGCGGCTGGTGAAAAGGAGGCAGAAACTCCGCCTAATACACCTACCGAAAATAATAAGCAACAATTTGAGAAAGGGAATAGCAAAGTACAGCGTAAAAACGAAATTGAGTCCAAAGAAACTGAGCAGGAAGAAAGAGAAGAAACAGAAAAACCGCCTCTGAAGAAACTGCCATCAACTGCCGAATTGGAAGATCGTTTCAATGCACTCGAACGAAGATTGAGCACGCAGAAATCAAGTCCTCACAAAACAAAAAAAGAGCCACCCGACGAATCAAAACGTGGGAAAGGTAGTACCCAAGAAGAACAAGTAGAAGAAATAGAAAAGAGCAAACATGAAGAAGCTAAACATAAGAAAGAAAAGCAAGAACCTAAAAGTCATCACGAGAATAAGGTTACAGAAGTCGAAGAGGTTGTAAAAGAGAGTGATTCAAATGAACAAAAGCAAGAGAAGAACAGCGAACAGGAGGAGAGTAAACGTAAAAAAGATGACTCAGAATGTAAAGCAACTGCAGAAGCGGCTAAAGAAAGTGAAGAATCTAATAGTCAAGAGACAAGCACAGAGACTAAAGAAAAACGCCCTGAAGAACGTAATGATAGACCGCAGAAGAAAGCACAAGATTTAGGGGATGTAGTGAAAAAAGCAAAAAGTGAGGGCAAGAAGCAGGTCGAAGAAGTCAAAAATGAAAAAAGTGCAGAGAACAGAGTTAACCACGCAAATAAAACAAAACCAAAGGAAGAACGAGAAAGTGAAAATCAGCTTATCGAAAATAAACAGAAGCATGAGATAGAAAAGAATGGGAAAAAATCGCCACCTAGTACAGAAGAACTAGAGAAACGCTTCAAAGCATTAGAGAAGCAAATGAGCAGCACCAGTCTGAAGAGCAGCAAAGAAACACCAAGCTCTGCAGACACAGAAAAAACTCATGTAAAGTCAAGCAAAGAACCGAAAAGCTCTGCACAAACTGAAGAAGCAATAGAGAAAACCGTACTAGCAGAAAAAAGCACGACGGAAAGACCGCCAGAGAAGAACGCGATAAAGGCTAAGAAAGAAACAAAATCATCAGCAAAAAAAGAAAAATCCAACAAAGAGAATACCGAAGAACAGTGCAGCCCAACAGAATCGCAAGAACCACAAGTCAAACCTGAAGCTGCAAAAGTGCGAAAATATTCACAAAACGAGCCGCAGAATAGTACAAAAGCTATAAAAAGCTTCGAAGAAAAATGCAAACTGGTTAACACAGAATCATCAAGCCAATCGATTACCGAACCTGCTGAACAATCAGAAAACCTAAAAACACCTGAGCCCAAGCACGTCGAAGCTTTTAATGAAAAATGTAAGGAAATTAATGCGGCCTTGGCGAAAAGCACAGAAAAAGCGCTACCAGAACCCGAGAAAACCGAAGCCAGTAGCGCTACAGCTGTAAACGCAAAACGTCGCGCCTCCGAACCACCTTCAACAGAAGACTTAGAGAAACGTTATGAATCGTTGAAACGTCGAATGAGCACAAAAGCAGTGGCGGAGAAAGACCACAGTGTTAGGCGTGAATCAGAGGCACTGGAGGAAGAAGAAGAGTCGCAGGAGAGAACAGAAGTAAGTGCCACCGCAAAAGCGACTAAAAGGAAATCCTCAGAGCCGCCAAGCACAGAAGACTTGGAAAGTCGTTATGAAGCGTTACAGCGACGATCAAGCGAACAATCGAAAGTGCAAAATATTGAAAAACACGAAATAAGTGAAAAACGAACAGCAGTGAAGAACAAAGAAGAAACTAAAGGCGCAACCAAAGGCAGTAAAGAGACAAAAGCAACAAAATCTCCAGAAAACCCAGTGCAAAAGTCTGATAATAAAGAAGACACGCCGCTAGAAGCGCCACCCCAAATACCAGCGGCGCCACCAATGCCTATGAAGGATACAGCCGAAGCGAGCTTCAACGACGAACAACACCGTGCACTAATCGAAGAGTTCCAGAGCAAAATTAAAGTGCAACCCAACGGTGAAAATCTAAAACCTAGTGAAATTAATCCAAACCGACGTACGACACCCGAACGACAACGAACAACACCATTCGATGGAACCTCGGAAACACATGCAAACACCGCTTTCTTTAGATCGGAGAATTACGAACCCTGGTACAATCAATCATACAAAATGGTTCGTCGTTTTTCCGATTTACCATCAAGAGCTGATCTTGAAAATCGTTTACAATTTTTGGAAAGACAATTAATCATGAAACTCTACAAGCAGCGCTGTGCAAGTGATTCCGAAGTGGCATCGAGGAAACATTTCATCGACGCGAAGAGTCGTTCCGCAGACGATGAAGCGCCCACCACATCTGCTCATGCTCAACAAAAAGCGGCGGAAGATTTGGAAAAGCGTGTTTTGGCATTGGAAAAGCAATACAGTGAGAACAGCTTGAAACTACTAGAGGCAGTACGTATTAAAGAGCAGGAGGCAACCGCTGAGGCAGAATCTCCACGACGTCTTAGCTCAGAGACTGTTGATGCTACAGGTAAGGAGCTCGTGCGTTACGTGGGTGAACTCGAAGAGGATGGCGCGATGAAGCCCATCAATATAAGTATTAATATTAAAATGTTACTTAAAAGAACGGACGAGGAGGCAGAGGCCAAAGCAAAAGAGAAGCTGCCAACAGCAGCGGAATTAGAGAAACGTTTAGAAGCGCTTGAACAGCAACTGAAGATATCTAGATCACGTCGTGAGAGTGGCATGGATAAATCTCAAACCGAGATGGTGCAAGAGTTGAAAAAATCTGAGGAGAAATTAGATGGGAAATCAAGTGAGCCCGTAACAAAAGACCTTGAGGATGTGGAAGTGGAGCTCGTAACAGAAACACCAGAAACTAAAAAGGATATAAAAGAAGCATTAAATGAGGAATGCAAAAGTGACACGAGAGAAAGTTCAAGCAAAAATAAGGAGGAAATCGGAAACGAGCAAATAAGGGCGGAAGCTTTGAAAGCTGAGAAGACATTAGAGAATCAGCAAATCGCGCGCTCAAAAAGAGAAAATATAGAAATTAAGGATATTCGCGAGAAAAAAGAGGAAAGCCACACAGCGCCAAAAAGTGGTGAGGCAGTTGATGAGAAACAACAACAAAACCAACCCAGAGAAGAAATTTTGGACGAGAAGAGCGCCAAAGACGATGTTATTCAAACTGAGAGCGACTTACCGCCAAAACAACAGGAAAAAGAGCTCAAAGAGATCACCAAAGCGATCGACGACTCCACGGCACTAAAATCCGAACCCAACAAAGAAAAGCAGGATGGTAGTAAAGAGTCAAAAGAAGGCCTTGATAGTAGCCAAGTCACTGAGATAATGGGCACACCCACTCAAACTGCCATACAAGTAGGAACTTCTGATCCCAATAAAACACCGCTCGTATTGCTACTCGACAACGAACCCAAGGCTGTTAAAGTACGACGACTGACACGAGCTAACACTGAAGAATTGGAGAACCTCTTTCAGGCACTCGAGAAGCAGTTAAGTGATCGCAATCTCATTAAATCCGAAGACGGAAAACTAATGCGGGCAACTGAGAAACCAGATACCGAGCCAACGGAAGAATCCAAAGCGCTAACAGAGCTCTCGAAAGAGATAGAAGAATTTACCAAAGCAGATAAAATGAAACCAGCAACAGATAAGGAAACAAAAAATAGAGATACCGTGGAAAAATCAAAAACTCCACCGCCACCTGAAGATCACGATTGGGGCGTAGACCCTATTAAGCGCCACCTTAAACGTAAAACGGTACATCTGCCGTCCACAAAGGAGCTGGAAGCACGCTTCCGATCACTCGAACGACAAATAAAACTACTCGAAGATGTTGAAAAGATCGATGTGGAACAGCGTTTAAGTGAGATTGAACGGAAAATCAAACTGCAGTACTCGCTCTCACACGAGAAAGATCTCACAAAGTTTCTGGAACTCTGCGAGGGTAAGAGCTTAGATGAACTGCCTGAAGCTATAACAGCAGCACGTGATAAGTACGATCCTGAAGTGAGTGCAGCGGCAAGAGCATCAACACCAAAGCAAAACCGAACGCCCCACAACTCACCTTCTCGCGCTAAAGAAATGACGCCATACACATCACCTTCACGTGCTAAAGAAAGGACGCCATACACATCACCCGCCCACACACCACGTGAGTCCCGAAGCCCCAAACGGCACACATCACCCGGACGTGTAACGTATGAGAATGATAGAGTAGCAAGTAGAAGCCCCAAAAGACATGTTTCACCCGGTCATGTACGTTATGAGGATCCAAACATACCCACAACTGAGGATCTCGAATATCGTTTCCACGCACTGGACTTTCCAAGATCAAAATCAAAGGAATCACTCAGCGGCAAGTCACGAAAGAACACGGTCGACTCCAAGAAGAACCTTATACATCCACTTGAAATGTTGCTCGATCCCAGCCCAGATGAGGATGCTATACCTTCTACAGGCGAACTTGAACACCGTATACGCGTGCTGGATGATAAACGAAAAGCAGCTTCACCCTCGCGTCGTCCACGTTCACGTTCACCCACTATTGAAGATATAAAGAACCGGAAATTGGCCAAAGAGCAGCAACCAAAAACACCCATACACAATCTGGAAACACTTGTCGCTTCACCAACCAAAAAGGAACTACCCACGGCTGAGGAATTGGAAGCACGCATGCGCGCATTGGAGGAGGAACACTGTTTCGACTTCAAGATGCAAAAAAGTTATCAAGAATTCAATCAAAAGCTAAAAGATGCTGTCTCACCGTCACTTTCATTCGAAGAGTTGAAAACAACGAAATCACGCGAGCAGAGCCCCAGACGTGGCGAAGCTAATCGTTCCATTACACCAAAATCTGCACTACGTGAACAGCACGCGAGCAGCATTGACGAAGCTCAATACCGATCAACCAGTCCTAAGGCTATACGCTTCCGTGATGAAGAAGATGATTACGTACCAAGTATGACGCATAGGCCCAAATCGCGCACAGACTTCCGCGACAACGTCGGACGAACGGTGGGCAATGAAAATTATGATGCTTTAGGAATAATTGAAGAAAATTCTAAATACCTTCAACGTATTCTTAAGCAGACTCTTACAGATTCCTGCAGCAGCATAGTAAGTGCTCTCGGTGCAAATTCAATGCACACGACGGAAGGACTTGACGAGTTCGGTAGTCGGTTGATGAGAGTGAGTATATTATCAAAAAAAAATTTAGCTTTCCGTCTTAATTCTAAATTTCGTACTTCTTCAGGAGACTTCACCTTTACAACGCACTGGTAGTCACACCGGCGTACCGCTGCGTACCAATGACAATATCAACGAACGCTTGGATTCGATTAAAAACACCATCAAGTCCATCGACAGTTTGTGTGAAGAGAAACCGTATCGGAAAGAACGTTGTCAACGCTACATCGACTCGTTATTTTCCGACTCCATACACTTTGCCAGTAAGAAGACCTCTCTAGAGGATCTCTCCCGTTCAGACAGTCGTATACGTGAATATACGCCAGCCATACGAGTCTCAGATCACAGCCAACGATACTCAGATCACTTATACGGCCGCAGTATGGGCTCCGCGGACTCCATTCGTTCGACCAGTCCGCTGCGCGCTGCCAGTCCATTGCATCATCGTTCCAATCGGGATTTGCGACGAGAAATTTCACCACGCCGACGACGTGAAGAAGAACGTGAAGAGTACCAGAGTAGGGTAAGACGTGAAAATATGTTGCCAAATTATTCTTTATTTCATGATAATCATAGAGACCTAAGTAGTAGTAGTTTAATTAAGTTTCATAAAGTAGATAGACAACTAGACACATACACATATGATGATGATGAAAGAGACAGATCATATTCACGATCGGCCTCCAGATCGCCGTTGAGATCGCCGTATGGATCGAGGGAGACGACAAGGATGACAGAAAGGATGCTACACGACAACACCAATACACAACGAATACACACCAACAACAACAACAGCCAGGATGACCGTTACAACAATATAAAAACAACAACAAATAAAAGTTTTGAATTGGATTTGGACAGAACGCACGCGTACACAACACCACATTACACAACAACGGACACTCTGTTAGGTTGCGATCCGTTGCGACGCTCCAATACGCCCGTCTATGCGCCCGGTCGGTTGGATATACGACACACCACAGTCACATCGACATTCTACGATCGTTTATTGGCGGAGAAGGAGATTGAGCGGAAATTTTCACAACCTCCCAGTCGTTCACCAATCGTTTCGCCATCGGTAACGTCCAAGAGTTATGTGGATTTATCGAGTGCGTGCGCCACATCGGTCTCCTATGTTGATAAGTCACCAACAACAGGTTTGTCACGGCGAGTGGGTTTCCACAATGCAGATAGCACGAAACAATATAGGAATTCAATGTATGGCAGTTATCCGAGTACCGCCTACAACGAAATCAGCCCAACTCAGCCCAGAAAAAATGACGGTATCTCGACTGCAACCGTTACAACTACAAATCAGTTCCTCAACTCCTTCAAACTCTACACACATACCGACACCAACAACACCTCCACCACAATCAACAACTATACAACCGCCACACTTAACTCGGCCCACATGCCCACAGGTAATTCAAGCACTTATTCGTACGATATCACTAAGCTCACAAGACTCCCAATGGGAGTCGATGTTTCCGCTTGCTCGAATAGCGAGTTACGCATACAAAGTTGTGATAATATTCTTATGCAATTGAAATCTACTTCTATAACTGCAGCTGGGTTAGGGCATATGAGCAACAATATTACAACAACAACCACAACAACAACAACAACAACAACAACAACAACTGCAATAATATCAAATATGACCGGGACCTCGACAGCGACATCGACGACAAGAACAACATACAGTCTAATTGGCTTAAATGATAATGACACTGCAACAACAGCAACTACAGGTACAACAACCAACCGATCCATCTTTACAGTCATAAACACTCCTACAATAACAACAATAACAGCGACAGCAACAAACTTGAACATCAGCAACAGTTTTACAGACAAATTAGCAAGAACAACAACAACAATAGCTGGTAGCGGTACATTTAGTACCAATAACATGACAATGACAGCAACAACAACAACCACAGGCACATACAATTTATATAATCTGACAACATCCAAATTAACAACAACAACAACAACAACCACAACATTCGGCAGTGACCCCACCAACAAATTCATCACCAATAATTCGACTCCATTTTTGTCCTACGCTACAACAACTATAACAACCAGTGACGGTTTGGCCGGCATCCATGGCGTCCACTACACTAGCAATACACCATTGAGTAGTCTGGCTTTAACTATGCGACAACCTTCTAATTTAACAGCAACAACAACAACAACAACAACAACGGCATATGCCTCCTCTCTGGGTCTATACACTACTAGTAATTTAAATAGCTACAACAATAACAACATAAGTAGCAAAAATTAAAATTACCCAACAACAATAGCAATGATGAACAGAAAAAAAAAATAAAAAAAATAAATAAAAAAATAAAAATAATAACAATAGCAAATTAACAAAAGAAAATCGAGTGAAAACCTCTAAAACGGATAAGATATTCATGCAACCGAGCTGCCTAAAATATTTAAACACATACCAAAAACAAAACCAAAAATTCTGAGTGAGTGCTGCTTTGATGAAAGAATGTCCTGTTGAGTGTTGTTGTGTCTGTAAAGTTGATTCGTTGAATTGAATTGCATTGGCAAATGTTAACATGTTTTTAGCAAAGAGAGAGCAAATTAAGATAGTAGAAATATATTTACATACATACATACATACATACATATAAAAGTAGTTATACATACGTATACTGTAGCGTGCAGGATAATGCAAACAAATTTTAGTGATTCGTAAAGCTATTAGATTGTTAAAGAAAAAGTTAAAACAAAAAAAAAACCAATAGGATCGATGCAAATAAAAGCAAATCATGAAATGCGTTGATTTTTATGTACAGTCGAAATTGGAAAATTCTACTTTTTGAATTTCTTACATTTCGCTTTTACTTGAAAATAGTCTCAATCTATTGAACTTTCTAAAATTAACATATTCAAATCTCTCTCTTTCTCCTTTCGTCAATTTTACCCTATTCCATTTGTGAAAAAAGCGCTAAACCCACTCACTAAATTGGAGTACTCCCGATGACACAAGAATTCTTTAAAGTAGTTTCACTCAGAAATTCAACTTGAAGACTTTTCTAAGAAGACTAAGAAATCGACTGAATTTACTGGATGTCTTTTATTATAAATAAATTGGAAACATTTACTTTCTTTTTTTTTTGAGGTTTTTAGATTTTTCTTCGAAGTGAAGCGAAGCGTTCGCGTCTTGGATGTCTGGTACATTCCAGGGAAATGCCAAGCAAGACAGAAAGGGGAACAGTAATAACCTCGTATGAACATGACGTGGGCATACCTCTGACCTTGGTGGAAAAATATCTGTTTAGACTAGCCTTTACCAGAATAACCAACAGCAGAGGACAGAGTGAAATCATGTGCAATGTGAACAGATAAATTTGGCCAGTGGCGGTAGTGAACAGAAGCAAGTCTTTACTCCATCCGAACAGTACCTCCATAAGCATAAGAACCGACATAATTACTGGATACTGGATACTGTCTTATGGGAACTCATGATAGAAATATGGCCTGCTCTCAAACGGGCTTCAGGGACATATAAATATATGGAGGAACCGTTGGAACATTTGCCACTAACCAACTCCCAGTGCGGTCCGTTATTAGTTTTTGCAAATTTTTTCCTCGATTTCTCTGTAGATCTTACACCTTACATCCGGAATTCCTCTATCAGGAGTGGAAAATTGTAATAAATATAATATAATATGAGCATGCCATTTTGATCAAATAAAATTCGAATTTTATTGGATAATAAGATTTGTCCCATCGCTCGGGTAAGGCTATTTACTGCTGGTAATTCGGTCAATCAAACTGTTTTGGATTAATAGTTGTGGTAGCCAGTCTTTTGCCTCCGATATCCCCTGACCGTCTGCATGCTAGTCTTACTCAACGAGTAGCAAAATTTCATCGGCTTTTTGAATGACTGGTCGACCAGAACGAGATACAGCTGTGACATTAGAATTTTCGTAAACCACACCTCGATTTAAGATTGCCCAAAATAACAAAGGTCAAAACGATCTAGTGTTTCAAAATTAAGTACTCAGCTTATCGTATTGGATACACTTCAATTCTTAATGCATGCACAATTCACTCTATTAAAGTTTGTTTGTATGTAGCATTGCCCAATTTCGACTGTAAGAAATTGTTAAAATTCCTTAGTTGAATTTGTCTAGCATCCAAATAAAAATGCCTTCGCACGTATTTTAAGAGAGCATTCGATTTTAGAAAAGTTAGAGTATGTAAGCAAAGACCCCGTAAGAGTGATTAACCTGAAACCGAATCGTATTAGTTTGAAAGTAAACAAAGTAAAGAGACTAGGTTCCAGAAACTATAAATAATATTTAAGAAACCAATAATTTTATAACTCCGAAATTTGAGGCGAAACATAAAAATATTGCACAAAGCTTTCAGACCGTTACAGTTAGTTTGCAGTAAAAGGTTTCGATAAATTATAGAAATCCTGAAGATATTTATTGCTAAAACTTTCAATTACATAATTGAGTTAAAAAGATTTATTTAATGCTTTTATATGTATGATCCAGAAATATTATGATAATAAAAACTGTTGTGAATTGGTTCTGTAACAAAAAAATTAATGAAATTAATTAAAAATAAATAAAATAGGAAGCAAAATAAAAAGTAAAATGTAATCAAAAGAAAAAAAAATAAAAGAAAATAATATATATATATAAAACTGAAAATAAAGTAAAAATAAAACGAAATTTATTAACAAAAATATATTATAATACATAATAAAATAGAATAACAAAAAAAAAAAAGAATAAAATAAAATGAAAAAAAAAAAAAATAAACAAATGAAAATAAAAATCAATCAAAAATAAAATAAAATAAAAATAAAAATAAAATAAAAATGAAACAAAAGTAAAATAATAAAATCAAATGAATTAAAATGGATTAAAAAAATAAGTAAAAATTCTAAGCTAACATGAAAGAATAAAATAAAATAAAATAAAATAAAATAAAATAAAATAAAATAAAATAAAATAAAATAAAATAAAATAAAATAAAATAAAATAAAATAAAATCAAATAAAAGAAAATAAAATTAAGTAATGAAAAATGAAATAAAATAAAAATTAAGGAAACTAAATAAAAAAATTAATTAAGTCAAGTAAATGAAATAAAGTAAAACAAAAGTTTAAGCAAATGGAAACAGAAAATATACATTATATTAAATCAAAGAAAAAAAATAAAATAAAATGATATAAATTTAAATTAAAACAAAACAAAAAACCAATAAAATAAAATTAACTAACATAAAGCAAAATACATAAAATAAAACAAAATTAAATAAATTAATAAATGGTATACAATAAATTATATTAAAAAATAAAACAAGAAAACCAAAATAAAAAAGATGGAATGAAATGAAATAAAAAAATAATAATAAAATTACAAAAAGTAAAAAAATAAAATAAAATAAAAGTGATAGAATAAAAGGCAATGAAATAGAGTGAAATAAAATAAAAAAGTTGAAGAATAAAAATATCAACTAAAATAAAATAGAAGAAAGGTGAAACAAAATAAAATAAAATGATGGGAAAACAAAACAAATTAAATAAAAACTTATCGAATTAAATTTAATTAATTTAATTTCAAAACAATAAAGTTAGAGTAAATTAAATAAAATTAAATAATATATAAGAGAAATAAAATAAACAATGAATAATAAATTAAACTAAAATAAAATAGAATAAAGTGATATAAATTAGTAAAGAAAATAAAAAATAAAACAAAATACACCAATAAAATAAAATAAATTAAATTAAAGCAAAATAAAAAATTAAATTAAGTAAAATAAAATGAAGAAATAATAAAATTCTATAAACAAGATAAAACCAAGTAAAATAAAAGAGATAGAATAAAATAAAAATGAAATTAAATAAAATAAATTAAACTCAAATAAAATAAAATAAAACCAAATATAATAAAATAAAATGATATAAAGCCTAACAAAATAGAATAAACTAATGAACTAAAATAAAATAAAATAAAAATTAATATTATAATATAAAGAAAAATAAAATTAAATAAAAAAATAAAGTAAAATAAAAAAATCAAATAAATAAAATAAATAAAATAAATTAGAGAATAACGTAAATAAAGTAAATGAAATGCAATAAAGCAAAATAAAAAAAAAATAAAAAATAAAATAAAATAAAATAGAATTAAATAAAATAAAATAAAATTAAATTAAATTAAATTAATTAATTAAATTAAATTAAATTAAATTAAATTAAATTAAATTAAATTAAATTAAATTAAATTAAATAAAAGTAAAATTAAATAAAATATAAGTTAATTTGCGGTTTAAAACTGAGCTATTATTTAAACAACAAAAATTTCATTCCTTAACCTATAAAGTTGTAAAACTATGTTAACAGTTATAAGACATATGTTATATTAAATGCACGAATGACGTCAGTCCAGAAAGCTAATAAAAAATGTGTGCAAAGAGGAAAAAAGTCTATACTACATATTTACAAATAAACAATATTTATACATACATACATACATACATATATTCGACGCAGCACTATACGTACTAGTCCTCCCTCACCTATTCGCCAACTACTAATCACATGCATGCACTTTAGCACATACACTTATAGTACATACATATGTACATATATAGGCTCAATTACTGAAGTAATTACATAGTAAAATAACTATTTAAAATAAACCCATTAAGATTAAAGACTAAAGAAAAATCAGTTTGTTTTGAAAAATTGCACCTGAGAATTTTTAAAGGAGTACTTGGCACCACTTTCTACATACCTCATATATATGGCATATATACACATCCTTAGCTAACAACTTACATACTTAAATACTATACTACTACTAATAATATAATATAACTATACACATACATATATACAATTGATTCAATTTCAAAATAAATAAATAAAAACACGAAACTTAAGATGCTAACTTATACTACTACTTCCCTACCACTCACTTTTCAAAATCTTTCTTTAAACTCGTACCGTACTCTTTTCCTAAAATGATTACAAAAACAATTGCATAATTCAATTTCAGCCGATTATTGTTCAAAAACCCAATTAAATGTTAATGACTGAATTCGATAAATATTTATGTAATTAATTAAACAAAACATAAAACAAAAAAAAATAGCAAAGGAAGAAATATTTATTGTATATTATATAAAAATTATAAAAATATAAATAGTTAAAATTTTTTGAACAAAATTAAAAATTTACAAAATAGTATTGTATTTATAATTAATTACAGTTGTTAAAGAAGCATATTTAGTCAAGTGTTTAAACCATTACAAAAACAAAAAAAAAAAACAAAAAAGAAGCAAAATGGATGCGAAAGTAAAAAAGCAAAACAAATACCAAAATCAAAAACCTTCAAAAAGGAAAGGCGCCACAGCTAGATGCATTAGAGAAATCTACAAAATCTGTATTATATACAATCACAAGTGTTTTGCGAGTATGAATTTCAAGGTCAAGTGCTTGTAGGTAAATTAATAAGAAAAAAAAACAAAACAAAAAAATAAAAGCAAACTTTTAGTTAAATTTAAGCAGCAATTGATAAAAAAATATAATAAAAAATAATAATATTAAAAATAATAATATTAAATAAATATAATTGTAAGTTTATGTATGTAAAATTAATATTTCATTAATTTGATTAGATAAAATTTTGTTAAATATTTTTTAAAAAATAATGCTAAACGATGGCGATGAACAGCAATTTCGAAATATTTGCAATTTCGAAAGCAAAACATTTTTGTATTTATTTATTAATTTATTTTTAATAGTTTGTTATTTATTAAATTTCTATTTATTAACAAAATAAAATAAAATATACGTGTATATAAAATACTGCAACAATTAAAGTTGAATACGTGCAATTTTCAAAATATTTACTCCAATTATATGTATGTATATTTATCATATTGTACTGTCTAATTACTTGAGAGTAAATATTTATTTTATTTTTGTTGACTTCACATATAGATATATATATTGTTTATTTTATTCATCAAATGAAATATATATACATATATATAATAAAAAATATGTAATATGGAAAGCCAATAAAAGAGCGCATTAAATAAAAAAAAATTAAACAAAAAACAAATTTGAAAAAAAATGTGTTTATTGATTTGCTCTCGGTTTAAAAGGCATACACAATCAAGTACAGGGTTTTTTAATAAGATATGATATTTCGATTTTCAAAGAAAGATATGTGACACGTAATGCCGTCAATACCATCCAATTCCAGCCATAAAAAGTCATGAATCACCTGTCGATAATGCAACCCATACATTTTCGAAAAATCGACCATAACCGCATAAAAAATTAGACGTAGAGCATGGATAGGCTTTTCAACAATAGATCTTGGATTTTCCGAACCTTAAATGTGTCTTTTTTTGCTTATTGATGTAGCCATCGAAAGGGGTATGGCCTCCATCAGTCAAGGTGATTTATCGATTCAACTTTTATGGTGAATCTTAAACATCTCAATGCATTGGGGAAGCGTGTTTTGTTCCATTTATAGTACTGGCGCAGTTTTTACTTATAAAATGTCATAAAATTACAGCTTCGAAAGGTACAAACTTTCCCTGCAGTGGTCCTGCAGTATTTTGAAAATAACTTCTAAAGCTATAGGCTTATTCACCAGGTACTCCCATGAGTTGAGTTGATTTGACGAAGTTGATGATCAGGCCTGAAAGCCCATCGTGATACCGCTATGGTGTACTTCTCACATTCTCGGATAGTGATGTCCTAGATATTGATGCCGTGTCATGGTTAGGGATAGACAGTGACAGAGACAGTGCTCGACATATTCTTCATTCTCACCCCTGCAGTTACGACAAAAATCATTGAAAAATTATACTGTTCTCCTACCGTGAAATCCCATTAAACATTGTCCAGTTGGCATGCTAACGTGAATTAATTGCGACCCATTTTAGGCGGATTAGAAGCGTTAATCTTTTTTGGCGTCCCGCACATAACCATAGCTGTCTAGTCACATTCAAGTTCTTTAGCCAAGCCACCTGGTGTTGGCTATTTTGCGTATAACCATCTTTAGCCTGAGAGATGTCTGCGGTGTTCCTAAGTCCGGACACCCAGACCAAAGCTGTACTGCAACTAGCTGAGTGCTTCTTTAAAATGCTTCTGCATTTCAACGCCACTTTTGATGTGGTGTAACTACATTCAAAAGATTTGACGGCAGCTGACCTATCCGAGTATATACGAGCAAGTATTTCCATACTGTAAACAAAAGAAAATCGATCCGAAAATAAAAATATCATATACAACTTTTCATACAACCGAAGAGCTATGCGTGTCTTTTGTGAAAATTGTTAATGCTGCAGGAAGGAAGCGAGACCTATTTGTATAAAGAAAAAGAGAGGGACCGAAATGAGTTAGTATAGAGAGTTTACAAGGCGGTCGAGAGAGGAATGCTCGAAAATTATATGGGGAAAATGCGGCGAGATGCGGAAGGTTTCAAAATCGGGTTGTAGTTATGCATGAACCAAATAGTAAGTCTTCGGTTCAAACTGCGCATAATGACTTCATGAAAACAGAAAAAAAACAATTTGTATAAATTGTAGGTGCCTCAATCAGGTCTTGCACCACATATTAGAGGATGAGCTCGGTCAAAAATCGCTTTAGCGATTACCAGGTGCCAATTATATACTTTATATATTATTTATGAGACTAGACTTCACAAGAAGGACCAACATTAGATGGCAGAGTGAAACCACATGCAATGGGACCAGACAAATCTAGCTATTGATCGAAGGTAATAGAACATAATAACCGGCGTAATAATCGAACAGTGTCTTATGTGGACTAATGATAGAAGTCTTGCCTGCTTCTTAAACGACTATTGCCGCAGCTGCAAGGATACTGGCTATGCCACAACCCAGCCTCAGTGCGTTTCGTTATAGTTTTCTCGGAAACTTTTGATCTTTGATATGTGGACCAAAGTCGAAGAGCCTCCTTAATGTCGCGAGGGTTCAGCTAAAATCTCCAAGTTTTCTGACGGCTTTAATCTCATGTTGGTCTGGTGTTATTTTAAAATAAAAAAAAAATTAATTCCAATTTTTCCGACAGGGATCCACACAGCCGCAAACCGCGATAAGACAAGCATCAAACAGATGAATGGAAATTTCAGACAAAGTTTTTGTTACTGATAACGCCGTTGGGCATTAAAACGCGACTTGGACTCCAGCTTAGCCTATCTGCTGATCGTTCATTTCAATTAGTCGGTGATCAATAGTTGGCGGCTTTGGAAGCCACTTTCTTGCAAAAATTGCTACAAATTAGTGTTGAGTTTAGAAACCGAAAGTGCAGCTAAAATTAAAGTCTCTTGATATTTATGTGTTTTCCACTCAAAAATCAAAAATAACAGTAATACAATGCAACGCTTGAACCGTATACAAACGCGTCAACTTGTCGCGCTCACACACAAAACCACCAAATTTTGGCAACAGCCACGTGTCCTCTACCAAACACGTTGTCTGGCCACACTGCCAGTGGGCGAGGTCTTGTTCCCTACAAAATCTGATTTCCCCAGCCGTCATATTGGACCACGTAAAACGGATGTTGTCGCCATGTTGGATACTTTGGGTTTTAAGTCCTTAGAGGAGCTAACGAACAAAGCCGTGCCCAGGCGTATACAACTACAAAGAGAACTAAATTTGGAGAAACCATTGAGTGAGTATTGTCAAGGAAGTGCGGAAAGAATTAAGAGATCAATTGCGTCAATACTGTTTTTGTTTTTGGTTTTGTGCTACTTACTTGACTACTTAATCAGAAGACCCCCTGCTGTTTTTCGTAAACTGATAAGACTGGACGTCGCTGTCTCGGTCGTAGTTCCTCAAAAGCAGAGGTTAAGAGTTTGCGAGCGCTTATCGCTTATTGTTTTTGGTTGTTGGGCATTAATTACGACGCGTTTTGCGATTTGTCGATTTATTTATAATTTTTATATTTAATTTTATGTTTGCTCAGCAATAGCGTATCATCTGCTATTGTTTTCCGGTGAAAGTGCGTGTGTGAGAACATAATGATTCGCAAAAACACGCGTAGACACAAAGCTATCGCTGTACACAGACTCCAAGGCCACGAGTCACGAACTCAGACTATTAAAAACGAGTATAATGTTTCATAGGAGATAAGTAAAGGGGAATGTGTGGTCCACGGATTTTGAGTGATAATTAAAAGAAAAATGCAAGCAAACCAAATCTCTCCCACCAAAACTGATTTTGTGTTTGCTAGACCGTTGGCGATGTTCGAATAGCGATTGCCCGCTTAAATAACAGCAAAGTGGCTGGAGCCGATGGCTTATCGATTGAGCTATTTAAATATGGTGGTGAAGAGCTGAAAAGGTGTATGCATCAGCTTCTTTGCAGAATAAGGTCGGGCGAAAGCATGCCTGAGGATTGGAACCTAAGTGTGTTATGCCCAATCCATAAAAATAAAGGCTTAAGGTCTGCGCCAATCACCGTGGGATAAGCCTTTTTAAATTCGCATATAGAGTCGAGCTTATTATGTAATAGACTAAAACCCAGCTGATTGAGCCTTATCAGTGTAGCTTAAGACCTGGTAAGACCTGATATCCACCATACGCCAAATCAATTTGGGGAAAGACCTGTGAAAAGAGGATCGACACACATCAACCTTTTCAACAATTTTAAAGCTACCCTCGGTAACACAGTAAGAAGCCTCCTCTATGCCGCCGAATTTGGTATTCCTGCGAAACTTATGCGGCTACACAGCCTGACGCTGAACAACACGAGAAGTGCAGTAGGAGCTAATTGGACAAGACATAATATCTTATAAGAGTGTACAACTGCTGGCGAATGCCGATGACATTAAAATCAAAGGTCTTAGTTTTGCCTTCAGCGAAACGTATGAGTCCGGTAGTGAGCGAGAACAACACGAATTGGCTGATGTCATCAAACAAACAGTCTTGCCACTTCAATGTTCGTATCTAGTAATCAGAATAACTCTTGTCATCAGCTGCTACTTTGGAATGAGTAGACAATTGAAAAGTAAAGTCCTCTCTCGACCTACTATATGTGGCAGAAGCCTGAACGATGTCAACATCCGGTGAATCGGCCATGAGAGTCTATGAGAGTAAAGTTTTGCGAAGGATTTATGGTTCTTTGCGCATTATCAACGGCTAATGCCGCTGACGATGGAACGTTGAGCTATACAAGTTATATGGTGACTTTGAAATAGTTTAGCGAATGATCGAATGTGCTCCAGTTTTGAAAGTACTCGAGGCAGTGCCCGACGGTGGAACGAGAGAAAGAAGTTGGAAATATCAGGTGAAAAGAGACTGGGTTACGCTTGGTATTTTCAACTGGCGCCAAACAGCGAAGAGCAGGAACGACTGTCCCACTATTTTTTATTCCACTCTCGCGAAACGGTGCCCTGGCCAATGTACAAGAAGAAGAAGACATGAAAACATGGTATTCCAAATTGGACGACTTCGATGGGAAATTATACCGGAAGTTACTGGTAGAAGAGACTTTGAAGTCGTAGATAACTTCGTCTATCTAGAAACCAGTAATATCACCAATAACAATGTCAGCCTGGAAAGAGACAGCGGCTACGCCGGCTAGATCTTGTCGTTCATATGGATAAAAGCACTTCAGCTTTGAAAGTATTCAGTGCAGTACCCGCTAGTAGAAGCAGAGGAAGAGGAAGATCTGCACTCCGTTGGAAGGATCAAGTGGAAAGCGACCTGATTATAATCTAATTACTGGCTGTATCTTAAGACCATTAACCCAGGAAGGCAATATTTTCTTAGCTTACCCGGGTAAGCTGCCAATAAAGGAGAACCATATCGACCCATTAATCTAAAACCCATTATATCAAATATCATGGAAGTGATATTCCTCAAAAGATTTCTTCCTGTCATTGAGCAGGAAAGTCTCATACTCCAAAATCAATTTGGATTTGAAAAAAAAACCCACAACGGCACAAGCTCATAAACTTGTTGAGAAACTATGTTCCGCACTTGAGGAAAACAAATATTGCGCAGCTGCTTCTTACGATATATCTCGTTTGGCACGATGGACTACTCTATAAGGTTAAAAAGTCTCTGCTTCTTTATTCTTACTCTGCATTTATATAGTCTTATCTCGAAAACTGGCATTCCTATGCCAAGCTTAAAGTGGAACAGACTAAACTCTACGAAATTTTAGCAGACGTAACCCAAGGCAGCGTCTTGGGAATCATATTACAACACTGTACATGCTCTTCTTCTGCTTGTAGCTGGAGGAACCTCCGTGGAAACTTTCGCTGATAATATTACTGTCCTAGCAGTAGGTCTTCTTCTTCATTCTTATAGTAAACTATAATAAAACCAAATTAGCCCTATGGGGGACAGCTGTGCGGAACGGCAGCCTACATACACGTATAGTTCCCCAAAGGCTCCAAAAGCGTATTAGTAGTTTTTTAAGATTCGATTAGATGAATGGAGAAGTCTTTAAGAAGATCAGACAGATCCAACTTTAAAGTAAGGGAAGTGGGATCGACAGAAGGTTTCAATGTCGCCGAATATCTCATACAACTGCGGTATTCGCCGTTCCCAGCTCGTAGAGGACCATAAATTTTATCCAAAATCTTTCTCTGGAACACTCGTTGAATTTCCAGGCCGAAGTTTTGGTTGTTATTAATACTGGTTCCAAGTTAGAGAAAATTATCTACAACTTCAAGATTTTGACGGTCAAGAGTGACGTGTGAGTCAAGTCGCGAACGTATCTGAGCGTAAATATGACAGCTCCATATTATCGTGGGGTAAACTTTCTTACAGATAAGAGAGGTACAGAACTCTTAGATTATTCCCGGAGGATGGCACAGCAAACAGGAGAGCTTTGCATTCGTTGCGATTCGTTCTCGACGGACAAGAAGTGGTGTGAAACCATCTCTTCATCTCCTCTCTGTGCTCGAATAGATGGATCTTACACTTAATGAAAGCTAAGCATGTATTTTCATGTGAACTGTAAAAGGTCAGGAAAAATATGCTTTCTATCAGGAATATTTCTCAAATACATAACCTTCCTATAAATACAAACGCAAGTTCAAGTTTCTAATAATAATTTTCCATCACACTCCACCCAGATGAACACGAGCTCGTGCGACACATACGCGGCATTGCCAAACGCAATGAGATTTGGCGTTCTTACATCGGCATGGGTTATCATAACTGTCACGTACCACACACCATAGTACGCAACGTATTTGAGAATCCTGGCTGGTTCACACAGTACACGCCCTATCAACCGGAAATCTCACAAGGCCGCTTGGAATCGCTTTTGAACTATCAAACTTTGGTTGCTGAAATGACTGGTTTGGATGTAGCGAATGCATCACTCTTGGACGAGGGCACAGCCGCAGCTGAGGCCATGAGCTTGTGTACAAGGTAAGTGCAGGGGAGTTCGAATGGTTTATGAATATGAATGGTAATTAGCGAATTTTTCTGTATATTCCAGGCACAACAGGCGCAAAAAGATTTATCTCTCCAATAAATTGCATCCGCAAACTTTGTCTGTGGTACAGACACGCGCCGAGGCGTTGGAGTTTGTGACGGAAATTGGACCGATTGAGAGTGCCGATTTGGAGGGACGCGAAATATCGGGTATCTTATTACAATATCCCGATACTTTTGGTGATGTTAAGGACTTTGAGGACACTGCTGAAAAGGCGCGCAAAAATGGCGTAAGTTTGCTGAAGAGGGAAAATATTTTCTTTTGAGCAGCCCCTAACTGTATTTACTTTTTTCGCAGACACTTATTGTGGTTGCTACAGATTTACTTGCACTCACCCTACTTCGTCCGCCCGCGGAATTTGGCGCTGACATTGCCATTGGCACCTCGCAACGTTTGGGCGTGCCGCTCGGCTATGGCGGTCCACACGCTGGCTTCTTCGCTTGCAAACAGAACTTGGTACGTCTCATGCCTGGTCGAATGATTGGTGTTACGCGAGATATGGATGGCAATGACGCGTACCGCCTAGCACTGCAGACACGTGAGCAGCATATACGTCGCGATAAGGCGACCAGCAATATTTGCACCGCCCAGGCTCTACTTGCCAACATGTCTGCGATGTATGCTGTCTATCACGGCCCAGAAGGTCTAAAGGAAATTGCCAACCGTATACATCACTTCGCCCTTGCCCTGGACACAGGTCTACGCGAAGCGGGACATCGTGTGAATAACAAAAACTTCTTTGATACTTTGCATGTTACACCCTCGGAAGCCTTGTCAATAGATGACATAAAGACGCGCGCAGCACAGAAGCGTATTAACTTCCGTTACTTCCCAGATGGTAGCGTGGGTGTGGCACTGGATGAAACAGTGGGTCCACATGACATAAACGATCTGCTGTGGGTGTTTAAGTGCAAAACGCTTGATGAAATACTGGCCGAATGCGATATACTTACAAACTCCATCGAGCGTTCGAAATTTCTACGCACGTCACCCTTTTTGCAACATCCAATTTTTAGCTCGCACCACAGTGAGTCACGCATGGTACGCTACATGAAACGCTTGGAGAATAAAGATATTTCTCTTGTACACTCAATGATTCCTCTCGGCTCTTGCACGATGAAACTTAATTCCACTACCGAGATGATTCCATGTTCTTTCCGTCACTTCACAGATATTCATCCTTTCGCCCCCGTTGAACAAGCAAAGGGTTATCACCAAATGTTTAGCGAGCTCGAGAAAGATCTCTGTGAAATTACCGGTTATGATAAAATCTCTTTTCAACCCAACTCCGGCGCACAAGGCGAGTACGCCGGTCTGCGTGCCATACGTAGATATCATGAGCACCGTAACGAGAGTCACCGTAATGTCTGTTTGATACCTATTTCGGCGCACGGCACCAATCCCGCATCGGCCCAAATGGCTGGCATGAAGGTTGAACCCATACGTATTCTCTCTGACGGCAGCATTGATATGGCACATTTGCGCGACAAAGCATCAGAGCATGATAAAGATTTGTCCTGCTTGATGATCACCTACCCGTCAACAATGGGTGTGTTTGAGGAGACTGTTGCTGAAATCTGTGATCTCATCCACAAGCATGGCGGACAGGTGTATTTGGATGGAGCTAATATGAATGCACAAGTGGGTCTGTGCCGGCCTGGTGATTATGGCAGCGATGTCTCCCATTTAAATTTACATAAAACTTTCTGTATACCACACGGCGGTGGTGGTCCTGGCATGGGTCCAATTGGTGTGAAAGCTCATTTGGCACCATATCTACCGGGGCATCCAGTAATTAGTCCACTGGAATGTGAGCAGGAAAGTTTTGGTGTAGTTTCAGCTGCGCCTTTCGGCTCCTCAGCTATTCTACCTATTTCCTGGTCCTACATCAAACTAATGGGTAGTCGTGGACTTAAGCGCGCCACCCAAGTGGCTATACTGAATGCCAACTATATGAGCAAACGTTTAGAAAATCATTACAAAACCTTATACAAATCCTCGAAGAGTGGACTTGTGGCACACGAATTCATTCTCGATTTACGCGATTTGAAGAAAACGGCGAATATCGAGGCGGTTGACATTGCTAAGCGCTTAATGGACTACGGTTTCCACGCGCCGACCATGTCTTGGCCAGTGGCAGGCACTTTGATGATTGAACCCACCGAATCCGAGGACAAGGAAGAATTGGATCGTTTTTGTGATGCTATGATTTCAATTCGTGAAGAGATCGTCGAGATAGAGGAAGGTCGTATGGATAAGGTTGTAAATCCTTTGAAGATGGCGCCGCATACACAAGCTCAAGTCATCTCGGATAAATGGAACAGACCTTATACCCGCGAAGTGGCTGCTTTCCCGGCGGTGAGTAATTAGCCGTTTTTTATTTTATGTTGCTTAATCCATTAATTTTTTTCTCTCAAAACTTTTAATGCAGTTGTTCGTAAGACCCGAAGCGAAGATCTGGCCTACTGTTGGCAGAATTGATGACGCCTATGGTGATAAACATTTAGTTTGCACCTGTCCACCCATCCTACCCGATCTTTAGATGAAATAACGGATTTTCTACGCAATGTGTTCTTCTTTATTAAAAAATTTAACTTTTAAGCTCTTTTATATTAAGTACAAAGTATACAAACATTTTTTATTTTTTTTTTGGAAGAGAAATTTTTGTTGTTGTTGTTGTTGACGTAGCTGCTTGCCAACGCCGGTTGAAGCTGGCTAGATCAGTTTAAGCCATCGAGGTCATCTAACGGAGGGTTCAAGAAACGAGTTGTTACAGGTTACGAGCAGAAGGAAAGGAGTTGTTCGATGAGTTAATTTATGCGGGCATGCAAAGGTAATTAGTGTCGTGCAGAGACTCATTGCATGCAGGACATACGTCAGGTATGTCGGGGTTGAGTCTGGATAGGAAGGAGCTTAGTCTACTACAATGTCCAGATCTAAGTCGCGTCAGTATTACGCGAGACTCTCGCGGCAGCTCGAGCTCTTCGTCTGCAATAGGTAGTGGTTTGACTCCGGTAACGGGGTTCAGAGGGAGAGAGTTCCTGAAGATGCAGATGGGCTCTAGGTGGTTGCCGTTAAATGCCTGCCTGTACGCCGTCCTATCCAGCGGTTGTTGTAGATGGTGCTAAATGCAGATCCTTATGTCTAGTACACATTTTCTGTACAAGTGATGCTCTGGCGACGTCAGACAGTTTCCTGTCACGGTCCTGAGGGTGTTGTTTTGGTGTTATTTTTTCTAAAATGCAATCAGCGATACCAAATTTCTCTTGTGTCAGGCACTTAGTCCGTTTCAGTTTTCGAAATCACATTATCGTTTGAGCCCAACACTTTCGTTTACTCGTATTTGTAATCCCAGTTACTCTCAAACTATGCTACTCGCTGAATACCACAATGAGCTGAATGTTGTAAAACATATTTTTTCACTCCACTGTCAATTGCTTGCTTGACAACCGGCTGAGTAGAAAAAACAGAAAATCAACAAAAAGCGTGCGCTGCTGCAAACGCCAATAAAAAGTTTTTGAATTTTTCTGGAAAGATATCAAACGATTGATCGATAAAGACATAAGATAGTTAATAATTTGCTGAAACTACATATATCAAGTAATATGAAGATCGAAGAAGTAAAAAGTACCGTGCGCACACAGAGAATTGCCGCGCATAGCCACGTGAAGGGACTGGGTCTTGACGAGAATGGCGTGCCACTGCCAATGGCTGCTGGTCTGGTTGGACAAAAAGCTGCACGCGAAGCTGCTGGCATTGCTGTAGATTTAATAAAATCAAAGAAAATGGCTGGACGTGCGCTATTGCTTGCAGGTCCACCAGGTACAGGCAAAACGGCCATCGCACTAGCTATAGCACAGGAATTGGGTAATAAAGTACCCTTTTGTCCGATGGTCGGCTCTGAGGTGTTCAGCAATGAAATTAAGAAAACTGAAGTTTTAATGGAAAATTTCCGTCGTTCCATTGGTCTACGTATCCGTGAAACGAAAGAAGTGTATGAAGGTGAGGTGACCGAACTGACACCAGTCGAGACTGAAAATCCAATGGGTGGTTATGGCAAAACCATAAGCAACGTAGTGATTGGTTTGAAAACAGCAAAGGGCACTAAACAATTGAAACTCGATCCAAGCATTTTCGAGTCACTACAAAAGGAAAAAGTCGAGGTTGGTGATGTTATTTACATTGAAGCTAATAGTGGCGCTGTTAAGCGCCAGGGTCGCAGTGATACTTTCGCAACCGAGTTTGATTTGGAAACTGAAGAATATGTGCCACTACCGAAAGGCGATGTACACAAAAAGAAAGAGGTTATTCAGGACGTTACGTTGCATGATTTGGATGTGGCAAACGCTAGACCACAAGGTGGTCAAGATGTACTCTCCATGATGGGACAGCTGATGAAGCCAAAGAAGACGGAAATAACGGGTACGTAGTGTCCTTTTTTACTCACGGAATTGTTAAAAGTAATACAATATTTTGGAATATTTCAGATAAATTACGCATGGAGATTAATAAGGTAGTAAACAAATATATCGACCAGGGTATCGCTGAACTTGTACCTGGCGTGCTTTTTATTGATGAAATACACATGCTTGATTTGGAAACTTTCACGTATCTGCATAAGTCACTGGAATCGCCGATAGCGCCAATTGTAATTTTTGCAACAAACAGGGGACGCTGCGTTATAAGGTACTTTTTAATTGGAAAAACACATATTTTTATATTAGTTGTTTTTATATTAATATGTGTATTTTTTTAGGGGCACAACCGACATTGTATCTCCACATGGTATACCGTTAGATTTGTTAGATCGTTTATTAATAATACGTACATTGCCGTATTCTTCCTCTGAAATGGAACAAATTATTAAGTTACGCGCCCAAACCGAAGGCCTACAGTTGGAAGAGTCAGCGTTTAGCCGCCTCAGTGAAATTGGCAGTAATTCTACGTTGCGTTATGCAGTTCAATTGCTAACTCCAGCACATCAAATGACCAAGGTTAACGGTCGTACACAAATTACAAAAGATGATATCGACGATGTACATTCATTATTCCTAGACGCGAAACGCTCATCCAAGCATTTGTCCGAGAAGAACAACAAATTCATGATGTAGTCAGTATGCATTAATATTACATTGTTTATTAAATGAAAATATTTCCAAGAATATATGTACTTTTAATTCTATTAAACAAAACATTAAAAATAGATGTATGACAACTGATTCATCAGTATTATATTTTACCCTTCACTAAATATTAGTAGTGGGTTTTAAAAACTTCTGTTTCCTCAACTTTGCGGCGAAACTGTAAAGACACTTTTTGCGATGTTTTGTGAACTTTTGAGTATTTTTGTAACGTTTCAAACAAATATTGCAGCGATGCCATGCATTTATTTTTGTAATCAAAGGTCTTTTCAATACTATTGTTTGCTCAAGTAAGAATGTTACATATGCGCGCCTGCGTCTGATGCGAAAATGTTTTCGTAAATGTTTGTTTAGTGTCTTTGTTGAGTTCACCATAACGCCACACCAGTATATAGGACACTGTTGATACGTCTGATGATGTCTATTCGTGCCGCAACGATGTAATGACATTAGCGATTGGTGTTCAAATTTTAACCCGCACAAATGGCATAGTACAGCAGGTCCCCAATGTAGCGCTAAGTGTGCAAGCATACGCTCAATACTTTTTTCTATTTCTCCACACACCATACATTCTCTGCTACCATTGAGGTAAAATATGGAATTTTCTCTGGAAAATCTTAAAAAGCTTTGCTTCTCGTCAATCTTTTTCTCATTAAATTCATTAGTGTTTTCGAATATATCAGAAAATGCTGATTCGTCCTCTAAATTACATTGAGTGCCTATGTCTGCTGTGTGTACTCCCAGTTTAGTTGTTTGTTGCGCTCGGTCGCGACATGGATTAGGACCATCCGTACTTATGGCTGCATCAGCAACATCCGGTTTTACTGTCGAGCCTGCATCCACTAATAGAGGTGGTGTTATAGTCTTACTCGATGTTGGTTCGTAACTTTTTGAAGTTATCTCCTCAATAGTCTGATCAGTTATCGGTATTAATGTTTGGGCGGAATATATTTTATTTTGTGTTGCTATCTGCTGAGTTATAAAACGAGTTTCTACAAATACAAATTGTGGCAACTCTATCCAGAAGTTCTGAAATAAGCAGTAGATTTAAGGTTATAAACACAACACAATGGTCATGAAGTGTACCTTTGACGGTTTTTGCATATTAGATGCTAATCCACCATTGATTAGTTGACTTCTAGTTGTAGCATCCAGATTAACAGCTGGAACATCTAGATCTGAGATTTTGTATTAATGAAAATTTTAATAACGATCAAAGAATATGTTTATCAACCCACCTGAGGATTCTAAAGTAACTGTGATGATAGGATCAGCTGTGACATTGTTCTTCATGTTGAGATTGTCTTATTTTGCTTGCGTTAATTTCATATTATACCAAGCAATTATTTGTTAAGTTCTTCGTCGAATAAAGTAGATTTGCAATAATTAAACTTTAATACATCGTTTCTTTCACCCGCGCGAGTTTTTGAAACGCACAATATACAATTTTCAGTAAAGGTATTTGCAGTTAGCGGAACTGCACAGAAACTCATCCAACATTTATCGATCTTCCACGGATCCTGCCATTGTATTCAATAATTGTTATCGACAGAGTTCCTTATATATCACAATGTCAAATAGCATATATTTTTCATTTTGGAAGATATGAAAAGTATTTTAAGCACGTCAGAAGTACTTATTCCGCACGTAAAACCATCAGAGACACATTAGTTTAAATAATTTTTATAAAGTAAAACACATATCACGTTGTTATCGAAAGTAGACTTTGTGTTTGAACACACTCTCAGAGTTGCAAAGATTGTTATGAATTAGAACTGATTTAAAACAAAAATTTATACAGCTACTCAACATACAGTATACTGCATTTATCATAAATTTCTTACAAAGAAAGAAATGATAAAATAATTTTTTTTTTAAATATTTTATGAAATCGTGTTTGGCAGAACTTTTGACAACTTGTCAATGAGTTCCTTTGAAAACGGCAACACTTTCGCGCATTGTGAACAGCGACGCTATGTAGAAGGCGCAGCAGCGTCTACGCTTCAGTCGGCTTCGTTCACCGTCTCGATGCGGTTTGTTTTGTCTGATTTTATTAATCAGTTACACGGTATTTCAATGTGAATAGTGTAATAGATATATACAAGTGAATGTGTGTATATATGCATATGTTAAAAAAAGAGAAACACAAACAAATGTCAATTAAATTTTGACCAATCTTAAATACCGCACCCAAGACAGTTAATAAGAAAAATAGTTTATTTTGGCACAGAGCAAGTGACAAACAACAAAAATTGGAACAAAAGCATTGGGAAATAAGTTGAATTGTGTAATTTTAGAAACGTTTGGTCGGCAATGCTTTTCGAGCGCGTAGCGTAAAAAGAGAGGACAGACGAAGAGGTTGCAGAGCGACCAAGTGAGTAGCAATGCGAAGAGTGGGAGCTGCGCTCGATACTAGATCCATTTATAAATATAGTAACTAAATATATTATACGTGTATGTATGTATGTTTGACAGTGCACCATGTCGCAGCTAACCAAAATGCTAATGTGCATACATATGTACATACATAAGTATTTCGTAGCACCCATTGTGATTCTTTAGCGATTTCAGAGTATCTAAATGTCTAACGACATTTCGCTTGGTGTTCTTTGCTGTTGTTGTTGGTGCTGCTGATGTTTCATTGTTGCATACGATCCCCACAGTCAGTGTTGTGCATTTTATTCGCACCAAACCATGCCATCAGTTTCACCACCGCAACCAGCGCCAATAACACTCACATATACATATGTACATACATATGTAGCTATCGAGCCACCCACACTAACGCCCAAATCAGATGCTCAGCGCATTTTTTTTTGTTGTAGTATCGTAAATTTAGTCACTATTTCGCCTTTGCCAACGTATTCGTTATTGTCTTTAGTGATATTTTTTGTTTCTTTTTTTTCGTAAGCCGTAAGCGACGTCGAGCTTGTGTATTTCCATATATTTTGTTTTTGTTTGGTTTGGTTAGTTAATTTTCGGTAATTCTATCGAATGCTAAGCTGTGTTGCGCTGCTGCCGTCTACGCTGGCAGAGTTAGAAATTGGTCTTTTTTTTAAAATTATGACATTGAGCTGAGAAAAATGATGAAAATAAAAAAAGGAATAATAATGGTAATAAAGCGATAGCGCGTAAATAAGCTTTAAATCGTGTAGTACAAAGATTTTTACATACATACATACATTTTTAATCAGATGAAAGGGTGCTTCATTAAAATTTAAAAGTACGCTAGAAATGTTTGTGTCAAAAAAAATATAATAAACGTAAAATTCACGAATTTAATAAGCAGAAATGTGTAAAAATAACTTCGCGACGTGTTGGCTGGCTCTCTGCTGACATTTTTAAAAACTTGTCCGCCTGCGTACATAACTAACAATACCAACATATTTACATTTTCACACATACAAATATGTGCGTACATATGTAAGTAGGTATGTATGTATGTATGTCGGTACAAACGGAAATTGAAAAGCAATAACAATTATCGCAGGCAATAAATAAAAAAAAATCGGAGTTCTCTACTAAGGCCAGCGATACACCCGAGCTGTTGTAATTTGTGGCGCTACCAATTATACAAAAAATAAAATAAAAAAATAAAAATAAAAAAACAAAGACTAGCAGTTCATAGAGTGCAGGAAGACACGTTTCCACAAAATTGACGCAAACCCATAAATACTTGAAAAGTTGTCACAACGTCGCCGGACTTCCAAAAAAGGAAGCGTGCCAGTGCCAATGCCAGTGTGTAGCGCACATTTCGTAAATACCATAGAGTGGGCAAACGAATAAAAAAAGCTGTCAGAAAGTGAAAAGTAAAATTAAAATTTTCTAAATAACGCTGCTCCGTGCTCTGCCCGGCGCACACAGCACGTATCTAGTATCATCACATCGAAAGGAAACGAAAGTGAAAAATCTCAAATTTAATGCTGCATGTTAAGTGGGTATGTGAAAATTATTTATGCTCAGACAATATTTCATTTAAACGATGACGCTTTTAATTAATTACATAATTGACGCCTTCCAAACCGCCTGCGCTGTCACCGGTTGTCTGAGAATTGTTTGTGAAAGTGCTGGCAAGCATTTACATATGTACGCACATACATATTTATTACCATAATATGAAGTACATATGTATATGTGTGCTGGTGTGGAAAGAATTTTCTTAAGCGATTTTTCCTAAGACAATACTTTGCGTTCTTATCTGAACTCTCCTATGTACTCTCAAACAAACATATACATACATGCATACGCACTTACATACATATGTATGTAAAAACTTCTGGCTTTTCGCAAATTTTTTTTTCTCAAAAAGCTGCTGCTTCACCAATCATTTACCAACACTATCACCACCACCACCACCATCACCACCATCATCATCCTCATCATCATCATCATCATCATCATCACCGCCGCCTCTACAACCGGCCTCGTCAAGCTGTCAATTCCAATGTCTGGCCAGTTAATTTGCCCGTCTGCCTGCCTGTCGGTCCGTACAGTACAATTTATCGCATTCTCTCCCGCTTTTGCCTTTGTTTGCAATTTTTATTTATTTATTTACATACATACATACATATGTATATCTTTTCATTTTAATGTGTGAATTTTGTTCTTTTACTTTTCAGCACATTTCTGAGAAATACTCTATGATAAATTGAAGCTTTTGTTCTACAAATTCTGTGTAGATTTATATTTACACTCTTATTTTTCGTATCTCTATTTTGTGGTCCATACACTCGTACAAGTATATATCACATACATAGCCATATACATGCATATCTATGTACATACATTTGTATATGTTTATATATGTGTAAAAGGTGTGATTTTGCAAATGTTAATGTGTTAACGCCCACTGTTGAGCGGCTACAATGCCTTGAGGCGCTGTGCTGTACACAGCTGGCGCTACATAAGAGTACATATGTTCCTCATTTTTTGACTCAGTTGACGTCGCTGTTGACGTATTTTTTCTATCTCGTATAGTTGATCGTTACTCGCTGGCTGATCGCGTTGTGATTTTTTTTAGAAATATTAAATTATTTTGTTTTTGCTATTTAGCAGGGAACAGTTGCATGGAGTCTGAAGGTGATTTCTTATGGTGAGGGCAGCTACCTCTGCAAGTTTTCTTTAATTAAATGTCTCTATTGGAAACTCAACTGGTATAAAAATGCCAAACAGCCCGACTTTGTACCATACATGGGGAGATCATGAAGACTGCGACGTTAGACTTCCTCGTAAGTTGGTTCTTAAACCACAAATTTTCGTGAGTACGGTTTTCGCGTAGTTATTCCGTTCCTGCTCCGTTCATGTTATGCCTGTCGTTGATCGACCACTAGGGATCCCTTAGTATCAGATCCTAATATTTCGGGTATTTGCTAAGTCTAATCTTTTAGAACAGCGTTATTAGTGCACTGGAAAAACTAAGCAATGGCCCTCTACTTGATAGTTTTAAGTGCGAGACATTTGCAGAAGAAGTGTCCCAAGTTTACTTGCTCCTTTTTCTTTTCTACGGAACTCAATGTTAAGCACTTCTCATCTTTCGATTAGTCCACCCAATACAGCTGATATTGCACCAAGACCCGTACCACGTACCTGCTTTAAGTTTTGTTTGGTAAGCTCACGAAGCCTTTTTAGCGTCACATTCCGGTTACATAATTCGAAGTGGATTTCAAAAAGTGCAGGCTGTTCGTTCAGAACTAGAAATATACAAAAAAAAAATTAATTTAAATAAAAAAGTAAGATAATTATTCACCAGGGAATGTCCAGCTCTCCAAGTGTATTTCTCACATATACGAAGGCGGCTAAGAACAAGCTGTTGGTCCCTTCATCTGTTGGAAAAACTTCGAAACACACGCCACAATCGAGCATAAATCGTTTCAGTGGTTACAGGATAAAATTTCAGGTCGTTCTAGTATACAGTTCCTGCTGTCGCGGAAACTATTAGATTTAAATCGTCTCTAAGGACAGGCATACCTTACCGCTGGTAATATCTTGATCTTCGAACTTGAAGAGATCGTAATATCTGCTGATGTGGTGAAATCCATTGTAGTACCGCCTAATTTTATCCGGGAACTCAACGGGAGAGTTGCAAGTAGATATCTCTTCTTTTGAAGACAACATTACATCTTAGAATGTGTACCTCCTATGGCTTTCAAATCCTGAATGGTGTCTGGATGATTGCTGTAGCTTGTAACCTTAACGGATCTTCACAAAACATAACCCCAACGGATGCCCACAAAACATAGTCCAATGCAGTCCAATCGCTGCTGTCAGGCGACCGGTCGACACCACCGTTTCGGCTAATTAAGTAATTTTCGACCAAAGTAGGCAAAAGATCGATTCAACTGTGGGCTGTATGACACCTAGGTTCTGTTAAAACCATATATCAGCCATGTCCTTTTTTTGAGCATGGACACAAATCATCGCTGAGCATGACAGTAGTAACAGCAACAACTTCATCATTATCAAAGAAAAATGGCTAAACGGTCACTAGTGTGGATTTTCTGTGCCAGGCCTTTATGCAAAGTCCAGCGCCAAATCCAAAGAAGTGTAGGAAATATTTAATTCCTGCATATGGGGTTTCTACATGTTGTTGATGGCTCTTCCAGCTCACTGTGAGCTACAGCAGTAATATTTACCTGCGAGCGCACTGGACGAGTTTGCCGAGCCAGTTTCGCAAACTCCCTGCAAAAAAGGTCACAAATTGCCTGGAAAATTAGTGATTTCGCAATTGTCTGGCAGTTGCGGCGTGGGACTCACTATTTTCGAATCACGTTTTCAATATTTTCCAATTCTCTTCAAGTTTGAACTTAACCATTTCGTAAGGCGCAAACTTTGCGTCGGAAGGTTCATAGAAAATGATGGAGCTCAAATAAACCTTAGTTCTAAAAACAAATAGTAGTAGAATACATATGTATGCATTTATGTTTGTATGTATTGAATAAATATTTTAAGGGAAATTTCAAAACGAAATAAATCTCGGAATTTTTAATTGTTCTAAAATCTCTATAAAGGTTTATTGACCCGAGAAATGTGCTAAAAATACATACATATGTACATATGTATGTACGTTCAGTCGTACTTATATAGATGTGTGCATATATATATGCCTACATCACGCATAGATTTTTAATCCACGCCGATCGTTGGCTATATTTATTTTCATTTGCATTTACAACAACTAAAAAAGAAAAATAACAAAAAAAAAAAAGAAACTCGGTCCAGGAAGAATGTGCTTTCGCCAACTGAAAACTTGCCCAAAATTAAATTCCCTGACAGCAGCGCAAATTGGCATTACACACACATGCAGATATGCCGTATATAGTTTTTTTTTCTGTACATTGAAACGCAAGTGAAGACCCATCTCTTATGTCTGGTAAGGAGTATGTAGGAAAAATATGTACCAATGTACAGGGCTGACCATTTTACGGTTTCGAAGATAATTATATACGTTTATGGATTTTAAATATTTTTTTTTCTCCTTAAAATGCCTTTTTTTTATTAAAAAGTTTGAACCTTTGCATTAAATTATATGTCTAATACTATATCTTTCAAATGAGCAGCTCGCGATTTTTGCGAACTTAGAATCGTTTGAGGTAATATTCGACCACTATTTGGTCCGGCCAGACCGAACCATTTTAGCACATACACGAGCGATGTTTCATATTTAAGATTTAAGGGTTCAAAAATTTGTTAAAAAAAAATCATCCATGACCTTGAAACTTGGTATTCTGCATTCGAATAATGAATCACACATTGGTGTCGAAAATGATCGAGATCTGAGTACTAAATACCCTCCTTACAGCCAATTTGTTCAGATAGGAGATTTTTGGACCAAAAATTCGTCAGAAAAGCTATGAGTTGCATTTTACGCACGTATATATATAAATAAACATTGTCACTGAGAATCATCGAAATCGCAGGACTGTATCGTATAACCATTTTCATTAATGCATGATTTTTAACTAAAACAAAACAAGTTGGGTTTGGCAGTTAAGTTTGACAGATTTCCAAATACAACCAGGTATTCTTAAAACCCCATCTTTAAAAAAAAAAATTATTTTCTTAATTTATTTTGTAATTTTTCCTACAGGGCATGTACACCAATGCCATTGCGTATACGCTATTTAACTGATTAAACTTTTTTTTTTTTGGTTTTTTTCGCAATTGCTTTAGTTTACTTGCGCCACAATTTGCAAAAATATACAAGTACATGTGTATGTATGTGCATATGCGTGTGTCAGATATGTATATATGCATGTGTGTAGATATGCATGTTTTTCGACATGGGGTTTTTAAAATCTATAGCAGAAAAGTCGAACGTCCAACATTTATTATTTTATTTTATTTTATTTTATTTTTCGCCCAAAATAAACAAAGACCGTTTGCTATCGTGCAAGTATAAAAACAAACATTTTAGCTTGGTAAACATACAAAGCCACACACACACACACATACCTACAGCAGCAAAATTGAGTACATTTATGTTAGAAAAGAGTAAAAATATTCCAAAAAATCGGGAGAAAAAAACAACGAAAAAGGAATAAAAATTAAATTAAACTAAAATATGCACGAACACTTTCATTCGATTGTATGTACATACATGGCTATGTACATATATATTTTGTATGCGTATACATATTTCGAGCTAGAAAGCTACCAATTGTAAACTAGAATGTCACTAATCTCAAGTTGTATGGCAACTAGTGCATCTGCGGAATTTGAAAAATTGCCTCAATTTATTGATTTAAATTAATTTTCTACATTTTCGATGTTGAACTCGTAGCCTTGGCTTCCAAAGGGAAGTACGCACGGCTAACCGACTAAATAAAATACTTATTTATTTATGTTAAATTACGACAGTGAAAATAAAAAGAAGTAAATAGCGAACTCGTATGATTTCACCCATTAAATACTAGTCTATAACTAGTGCTTTAGATACTAG